TATTTTAAATTGTTACATTTTTTTTTTTTCAATTTACAATTTGATTAATTTTTATTAATTATACTATTTTTAATCATTAATTTTATAATAATTAAATATTTCTTACTCTTTATGATGGGTTTTATATTTAAACGCTACCAACCCTTCTCTGATCTTGGGTTTGATCTTATACACCCTTCATCAATATTTATTAACAATGGTATCCGAGCGACCAGGTTCCATCTTCCCTATTTTTACTCTAAATTTTTTAACGATAGAGTTTATGTTATTTGTTTGTTACGATCTATGCCCAAATTTTGTGCATTAATCATGCCTCAAAATATCATATGTTGCTATCTTATCTTGGTTCACAGTGTTAATTAATTAAAGGATAAGTATATGTGCACTCCCTTTATATTGATCAATTTCAAATCACTTCTATCCCATTTTTTTTATGGGTTTGGTTTAGTGTTTGAATTTTAAGGGTGATTTGGCTCCGGTTACGGTTATGTTGTTTGTTTTATCTGATAAGTGGTGATATGGATATATTATACTATGTGATATGGGATTGACTACCTAATTTATTTATTTATTTTTGAGTAAACTAGTCCCATTCCCTGCAATTGAAGGGGGATTGACTACCTAATTTATTTATTTATTTTCGAGCAAACTAATCTCATTCCCTGCAATTGAAGGGAATTACACGAGAGAGAAAGTTGTTGCGTTCCCCAAGTGGTACCTATCACACCCCTTGGCTTGAGAGATACGTCCCTATCACGTGCCCCTTGGCTTGAGGGAGAGATTATCATGTGCCCCTTGGCCTGAGGGAGAGATTATCACATGCCCCTTGGCTTGACGGAGAGATTACTTGGGCGTGTGGCTTGAGAGATAGATTACTTATGTGCTTCGTAAAAAAAAAAAAGAAATCAATTTGAGAGAGAGAGAGGAAAAAATAGAGGTTATGAAGGGGGAGAGAGAGACACGGAGAGACTAAAGAGAAATTTCAGTGAGTACAACAAGATATAGATTGGGACTTGTAAAGAGAGAGAGAGAGAGAGAGAGAGAGAGAGAGAGGTAGGGT